TGTAAACATTGCCAACATCCCGACACTCAATGGGAGCAATCACCGTGTGTGGCGGGAGAAGTATGAATTGGAACTTGCGTTGGGAGAGGTCGATTTTGCCATCACCTCACCGTGTCCTACTGAGCCAGAGGACCCAGTGAGAGGTGAAAATGAATCTGACGCTGATTTCGCTGCTCGAAAGCGTGATCATGCTGAAATAAGAATGAAATATGACCTTGAACATAGGCAATGTATTCTCTCCAACCACAAGTGCCTGTTGGTGGCCAATGCCACCATAGAAGAACAGATAAGGGGCTCAATCCCTAAATGTGCTACTGCCACAGAATATCTTGAGAAAATCAAGAGTCAGTTTACTGGATCTACCAAGGCCACAGCAAGTTCACTGATTAAGAAGCTTGTGAATGAGAAATTCACTGGTGGTAGCATAAGAGAGCACATTTTGAAGATGAACACTACGGCATCTAAGCTAAAGGAAATGAATTTGAAGGAGGATGATTTTTGATTCATTTGATTTTTGCTTCTTTGTCAAAAGAATGACACCTTCATTGTGAACTACAATATGTAGCCTGAAAGATGGAGCATAGAAAGACTCATCTCAATGTGTGCTCAAGAAGAGGAGAGGATAAAGTCCTCACAGGGTGAATCCGCTCATTTTATGAAGGATAACAAAAAAAGAACTTTAATGGCAAGAATTCTAAACCACAAGGGAAACCTAAGTGGGATAAGACCTCTTCCTCCAATTCACAGGGAAAGAAACCCTAGGATTCTGAGAATCAGCAGTATGGTGGAGCTAAAAAAGATCAGTGCAAGCACTGCTTCAAGAAGGGACACTACAAGAGGGATTGTCTAGACTTTCTGAAATCTCTGCTAAAGAAAGGTGATGAATTTATTACATTTGTAGATGAATCCCTATATTTATGTTATGATAAATCCACTTGATGGGTTGATTCAGGAGCAACTACTCATGTTGCAAATTCCTTACAGGGGTTAAGTGGGACGAGAACCTTGCGAAGAGGAGAAAGAACGATTAAAGTTACAAATGGAGTGCAAGCCAATGTTGAAGCTATTGGAGTTTTTTCTTTAGAATTGAACAATGGTTTTGTACTTAGACTTAAAGAAGTACTTTATGTTCCCTCTTTGCGTAGAAATTTGATAAGCGTTTCGAAACTTGATGATGATGGAATTGATTGCCATTTTAGTGGTGGCAAGTGTAAGATACTGGTTGATAATAAATGTGTTGGTCTTGTCTTCCGACAAGACAAGCTTTATTTATTATCTCTTGCTGAGAATGCGAACAATGTATGCGATAAGAATGTGAATGATTCCCCATCTGCGAATGTAACTAAGAAGCGGAAGAGAATTGATAATGTCTCTTCAAAATTATGGCATTGTCGCTTGGGCCATATTTCGAGGGGGAGAATAGAACGATTGGTTAAGGAATCAATTCTCCCGCACTTAGAATTTTCAGATTTAGAACAATGTGTTGATTGTATCAAAGGAAAGTATGTCAAGAAAATTAAGAAAGATGCCAAACGAAGCACATGAATTTTAGAAATAATCCACACAGACATATGTGGTCCTTTTTCTATGAAAAGTGTGGATGGTTATGATTCGTTTATAACATTCACAGACAACTACTCTCGTTATGGCAATATTTATCCAATTAAAGAAAGATCGGAAGCATTGGATAAATTCAAAATATTTAAAGCTGAAGTTGAAAATCAGCACAATAAGAAAATCAAGATAGTACGATCAGACCGATGTGGAGAGTACTATGGGCGACATACCCCATATGGCCAAATTCCTGGACCGTTTGCAAAGTTTCTACAGGAAAATGGCATAGTCGCTCAGTACTCCACACCGGGGGAGCCTCCGCGGAATGGAGTGGCTGAAAGACGTAACCGTACCTTAATGGATATGGTAAGAAGCATGATAAGTTACTCCACATTACCGATTAGTTTATGGATGGAGGCACTGAAAACCGCCATTCACATACTTAATCGAGTACCAAGCAAATCGGTGCCTAAAACACCGTATGAATTATGGACAGGAAGAGAACCCTTACTTAACCATTTGCGTGTGTGGGGCTGTCCGGCTGAGGCAAAAGTGTTTAACCCAAACATAGAAAAGTTAGACTCCAAGACAGTCAGCTGCCATTTTATTGGCTATCCAGAAAGATCGAAAGGATATCGCTTCTATTGTCCTGACAGACATACGAAGATTGTAGAAACAAGACACGCTGTGTTCTTGGAGGATAACATGATCAGGAGGAGCATGGTAGCACGAGAAATCAGCCTACAGGAGAAGCGGGTACATGTACCCACTCCGATGGTTGAAGAACCACTCTTCACGCTACCTGCTGCTGTTGCGCCGATAGTGCAGGACACTATAGTGCCAACACCTGTTGCAAGTTCTCCCGTGGCGACAATGAATGAACATGAGGAACCTGTCCTTGAGGAACCTATAGAACCAAATGTCGCACATGAGGAAGAACAACAACAGCCCAACGTGGAACAAGTGCCAGAGGCACCTAGAAGGTCTCAAAGAATAAGAAGATCAGCTATTACTGATGATTATGAAGTTTATGAGACAGAAGAATTTCAGATGGGGGATGATCCTACCTCATTTGAAGAAGCCATGAGAAGCGACCACTCATCAGAGTGGCTTAAGGCCATGGAAGATGAAATGAAGTCAATGAGTACCAATAAAGTTTGGGACTTAGAAATTATTCCTAAAGGAGCCAAAACAGTAGGTTGTAAATGGATCTACAAAACAAAATATGACTCCCAAGGGAATGTAGAAATATTTAAAGCGCGACTTGTGGCGAAGGGCTTTACGCAAAGAGAAGGGATTGATTACAATGAGACGTTTTCTCCAATCTCATGTAAAGATTCCTTCAGAATTATAATGGCACTTGTAGCCCACTATAATTTGGAGTTACATCAAATGGATGTAAGGACAGCTTTCCTTAACGGGGATTTGGAAGAAAATGTTTATATGGCACAACCGAAAGGTTTTGTCGTAAAAGAAAAAGGAAATATGGGATGCCGCCTAAAGAAATCAATCTACGGATTGAAGCAAGCTTCAAGACATCGGTATTTGAAGTTTGATAGAACGATAAAAGATTTTGGATTTAAGGAAAATGTTGATGACAATTACGCTTACGCAAAGTTCAAGAATGGAAAGTACATATTCCTAATTTTGTATGTGGATGATATCTTGCTTGCTAGTAGTGATATCAATCTACTAATGGAAACGAAAAAATTCTTGTCCTCAAACTTTGATATGAAAGATCTCGGTGAGGCCTCGTTCGTTTTGGGAATAGAGATTCACCGAGACAGAAGAAAGGGGGTTCTAGGATTATCGCAAAAGGCATACATAGAAAAGGTCCTGAAGAAAATTAGTATGCATGCGTGTAGTCCTTCACCTGCACCTATAGTCAAGGGTGATAGATTTGAGGAACATCAGTGTCCCAAGAACTAATATGAAATTGACCGAATGAAAGCGGTACCGTATGCTTCAGCTGTTGGAAGTTTACAATATGCTCAAGTGTGTACACGCCCTGACTTAGCCTTTGTTACCGGGTTACTTGGCAGATAATAAAAGAATCCAGGAATTGAACATTGAAAATTAGTGAAGAAAGTCCTGCGTTATTTGCAGGGTACGAAAGGCCTCATGCTTACGTATAGAAGATCTGATTCCTTGCAGATAGAGAGATATTCAGATTCTGATTATGCGGGAGAAGAAAGAAAATCCACGTCAGGATATGTATTTACTCTCACAGGAGGGGCTATATCGTGGAAAAGCTCCAAACAAACCGTAACTACATCCTCGACAATGTATGCCGAGTTTGTAGCATGCTATGAGGCAACGGGGCAGGTGAATTGGCTGAAGAAATTCATACCCGGATTGAGAGTGATTGATAACATAAATGAACCTATGAGGTTGTATTGTGATAACAACCCAGCGGTACAGTATGCTCACAACAATAGGTCAAGTGGTGCTGCCAAACACATTGACATAAAGTATTATATTGTGAAAGATAAAGTTCGGGATCATATAATAAATCTTGAGCATATAAATACAGACAAAATGCTCGCGGATCCGCTCACAAAGGGCTTACCACACAACGTGTTCAGAGAACACGTAGCGGGCATGGGTTTAAGGGAAAGCCTATGATTCTCGAACATATGAAGGGCCCAAGAGAGAATTTCATTCCAATACGGAGAGGGGTGTTGTGGCTGTTAGTCTAACGGCACTGATTACTGTGACGATGAGACAACTCTATATACTAATCTGTAAAGGAATAGGATAGAAGCAAGAAAAATATGAATTGAAAGTTTTGAGTATGAAATTAAAGAACGAAGAAAAGATGAGAGATCAAGGGGGAGAATGTTAGGTTTGATCTCCCACCAGTTAGGCTCAACGGCCTTTTGGGCCTTGTTCTCGCGCCCTGATCGGGGGCGCCCAACTCTACATGGTTGGTAGGCCCCCGTCACACTGCGCTATAAATAAAGGTGGGGCCGGCAGGCTCTTGATACGAGGTTCACCTGAGCCGCCACTCCCCACCGATATTCCCCATCCCGATCCGAGAGAGGCACAGCCAGTGACGGAAAGCTGCCACCGTCTCCACTGCGCCACCACTTCACTGCATCGACTCCTCTCTCCACCGAACGTCGCTGTCGGCGCGCAGATGGCATCCGCGAACGAGACCCCGGCCGGCGCTTCCACCACTCCGACAGCTCCGACCACTACGGCCTTCGATGGTCTGCGACTTCATACTCCACCTATTCCTTTTCTTCCTTTTATGTCTCTGTAGTTCATGTATTAGGATTTGTGTGTATACTGTGAATCATGAACATGTATTTCTATTATGATGTATGCCGATCTGATGAATATGAATGAAATGACAGATCCATCTCAAGGCTCCGCATGTGCCGGCGTGGGTGCGCACCCGAACTCCACTGGATCTGGTGACTGTGCTCGACGTCAGCGGGAGCATGTCTGGCCCCAAGCTTGCGCTCCTGAAGCGCGCCATGAGGTTCGTGATCGAAAAACTTGACCCCAGCGACCGGCTCTCCGTCGTCGCCTTCTCCTCGTCGGCCTTCAGGCTGTTCCCGCTCCGGAGGATGACCGCCTTCGGACAGCAGCAGTCGCTGCAGGCTGTCGACTCCCTCGTCGCCGATGGCGGCACCAACAGCGCCGAGGGGCTGCGGAAAGCTTCCAGGATGGTGGAGGACAGGCAAGCCTGGAACCCGGTGTGCAGCATCATCCTGCTCTCTGACGGCGTGGACTCCCACAACCTCCCGCCGCGGGACGGCTCGGCGCCGGACTACGCGCCGCTCGTCCCGCGCTCCATCCTTCCCGGGAGCGAGCACCACTTCCCGATCCATGCCTTTGGCTTCGGCATGGACTACCACTCCAGGGCGATGCACGCCGTCGCCCAGATGTCCAGCGGCACCTTCTCATTCATAGATATGGTGGGGTCGATCCAGGACGCCTTCGCGCAGTGCATCGGCGGCCTCCTCAGCGTGGTGGCGCAGGAGACGCGGCTCAGCGTCGAGTGCGCCGACCAAGGCGTGCTGCTCACGTCCATCAAGTCTGGCAGCTACGCCAGCGGAGTGGACGGCGACAGCCACGGCGGGTTCGTCCACGTCGGCCGCCTCTACGCCGACGAGGAGAGGGACTTCCTCGTCACCGTGCGCGTGCCGCCGTCACGCGTGTCCACTGCGCTCATCCGGCCGAGCTGCACCTACCGCGACGCGGTCACCGCGGAGATGGCGCGGGTGGGAGGCGACCCGGTGATGCTGCTGCGCCCAGAGTTCCCGGTGAGCGCGGGGATGTCCCTGCAGGTGGAGCGCGAGTGGCACCGCGTCCACGCTACGGAGGACATGGCCGCGGCGCAGGCCGCCGCGGAGGACGGCCACTACACCCGCGCGGCTTCGATCCTGGAGGCCCGCCGCCTGCTGCTGGAGTCGTGCGCGTCGCTGTCCTGGGACCAGCAAACGCAGGCGCTGGTGGCCGAGCTGCGGGAGATGCAGGAGCGCGTGCTGAACCCGCAGCTGTACGAGGGGTCTGGCCGCGCCTACATCCTGTCCGGGCTGAGCTCCCACTCGTGGCAGCGTGCCACTGCGCGCGGCGACTCGACGGAGCTCACGGGCCTCGTCCACAGGTACCAGACGCCTTCCATGGTGGACATGCTCAGCCGGTCTCAGGCGCTCCAGCCGGAGGTACCAGAGGCACTGAGCTGGACCCCGTCGATCTCGTCCTCGCCCAGCCCGGCCCCAATCCCCGCCCCCACCTCCGGCTCGCCGAGGCCGCGACGTGGGCTCCGGTCGTTCAGGCCGTTCCAGTTCCATTGACAGTGCGAACTGGCATTTGAAATAGCAGTAGCTAGCTAGGAGGGAGAAGAAAACAATTACCATTGATTCGTTTCTTCAATACTCCATTGTGGTATTACTGTTTTGTTGTTTCGTACTGATGTTTACCCGTGGATTAATCTTGATTATCTAAACTAGTGGGAATTGACTATCAATGTGGGTGTTTTCTATATCATGATGCGAGTGTTTTGTTTTAACTGGTTGTACTGTTCGTCCATCGTTTTTTCCACGTAAGGATGGCAACGGATCGGGTTTGGGGCGGATATCCGCGGGTTTCGGGTTCTGCGGGTTCGGGTTTGGGGTTGGTTTTTCACCCACGGGTTTCGGGTTTGGTTTTCCACCAGTGGATATCCAATGGATATCCGAAATAAATCATTTGGAATTAAAACTCATATTTTATAATATACTAATAATAATTTGTTTACTTAGATTATTAAATTTATTTAAAGTTGACTCATGAAAATATTTATTATTTATTGCCTTTTGTTTATACATGTGAATATGTGTATATATATCCGCAGGTTTTGGGTATCCGTTCGGGTTTCGGGTATCCGTTCGGGTTTCGATTTCGGGTTTCGGTTTTGGGTGCACGGAGACTCCACCCGATCCGAACCCGACCCGTTGCCATCCTTATTTCCACGGGGGAGCTGTTTGGCTTTGGCCGCTGGTTGGCTTGGTTGGAGTGCAGAGCGTTGCACTATTAATTAGCGCACACACAGCGGTAAAAGTCAGTTACTAGGCCAACCTCTCTAATAGTATGAGCTTTTAGTAATGGCTCATAGTACGATTAAACCAACGTGACACTCTCACATATTCTTGGAATATGTATATGAGTCTAACTCTTGATTAAGAGCTAGTTTTTCTCTCTCTTCTATTAAAATATGAAGAAAAAAATACTTAGAGCTAACTTATGAGTCATCCATTGCGAGTGCGGCCTGCTTATCTTTTCGAGAAGCCAAGAACGTTTCAAAATTCAGAGTGATGAGTCATGTCATTACCATACCGCATGTTCGATGTTCAAGTCTTGAAACTTAAAAAATAGCATCATATGTAAATTAAGCGTCTAAGTAAAATTCTGATTGCATTATGTTTCTTGACAAACACACTGACCTTATGTTACCATAATATATTCTATTTTGAGGCCCTCTATGTCAGGAATTTTGTTGGGCTTCTTCACTGCCTTGTTTGCTTGAGTTATAGTTTTTGGCTTTGGCTTTCTGAAAGTTGACTCTTTGAAAGCTAGCCTGTGCAAAGGGAGGTCGTTTGGCAAGATGAAGTATGAGCTAAAAAGAGGTGTAAAATATCTAAAATAACCCTGTCTATCTACATTGTTTGTAATTGTTGCCTATATTTTGTATCATGGGACTAATGGTAATATTTGCAAAGCTTATTTAACAAAAAGAACTAAATTTTATGGATCATTTAGAACTTATGAAGTCACATAATATAATTCGTACATCTCTTGATTACAAACATCATTACACTACTCTCTCATGGTCGTCAAAGCATCCGCAATACTATCACGAAAAGCATTCATGTCACTGGTAGATGGTGGGGGAGTAAATTGAACCTCAATTTTCTCAATCTGATCACCGATCTCCTCTTCTTCAATGGTTTTTGCTTTCTCCAGTAGCATCATCGCTGGGAATGCATGCAGAGAGGTCGAAGGCATGCTCTTATGATACATGAGTTCCATTTCTTTCAAGCAGTGTGGAGGACCAAATTAGAGTACCTTCTTCTCCCTGCTCATGGTGGTTGTAACGCCCCGATTCGAAAAACAGCTAAGATCCACTCTACACATTGAATGGACCACACCTATTTCGTTTCGCGCAAAAGATTCGAACCAGAGTTAACACACTCTTCAGGCCTGGTTTTTAAGTTGGTTCAGCTTCTCCTCAGGTTCCGGACTAAAGTCCCGCGGCTACAGTGTTTTTGCTGCTACAGTACATCAAAACCAGAAAAAATACAAATACATTAGCCACTTTCATTCACACAAAAAGAACTGCAACAAACATACAGATGACACATTCCTAACCTTTGGTGTTGGCCTCCCACCAATCTTGACTTGAGCATCTCCAACAGTATCTTAAAAAAATACTCCCAAAAACAGGTTTTCCAACCTTTACAAAATATATTGGGAGATATAAAAAAATTACAACTCCAATAGTTTTCGAAATCTCGCGCCTAAAAGATAAAAGGTAATTTTACATCAGGAATCATAAACTAATTCTAAATCGCACTAACCATTTTTATACTTTATTTCTCTATTGTACATTTGCATTAGGAACCCTGTCTTGCTTTTTTTTCTTCCCCACGTCCTTTCATCTCAGATTGGGGCGACGATACGCGCGCGTAACTTTATGTGAGTGGGGGTGATTTTTTCCAAATGCCAAAAGATTGGGAGGTGTGTTTGGGAGTTGTTGGAGATGAGTTTTTTTTCAATCTTGCCAAAATTCCTAGATTGGGAGACTCTTTTGGAAACTCTTGAAAGAATCCACCTAGGGAAGACCAACAGCAGAGGCGACGAAGTATCCGCTAAAGAAAGAGCCAGAGCGACCTCGGTGGTAAAGCATCCACCAAGGAAAACCACGTGTGAGCTCAGCGGCAAAGTATATGCTAGGGAAGAGACCATGGCGTCCAAGTATCCACTGAGACGAGACGTGCAACGGTAGCGGCAAAGTATCCGCTACAAAAGCCGAAATTGCGGCAAAGTATCCGCTCAGCGAGAACCAGCAACACTGGCGGCGAAGCATCCGCCTAGAAGATCCATGACGGGAGGATAAGAAGGTGCAACGACAGATGCCTCCATGGAGGATAACGACGCCCAAATGGCGTCACCATCGTCGGCCTGATAGCAAGGTTTTCGCCTAGCACCCCACCACCCAGCCGCAAGGCAACTGCTGCACAGGGGCTGCACAACGACCTAGGACTGGCCGACAGCAGCACTGCTAATCACACCAGAGCAGCAGCCGAATGAGGCGAGGCAATGGCTAGTAGTCGACCAGCCGCGCCCACCATATAGAGGAGTGGGGTGGGGATTGCACAGAGAGGAGTGTGAGAGGAGGGAGAGGATTACCACACGCGCAGATTGGGGGGAGTGTGCGTGGGTCCTATCTACAGTCGATGGAGGCAACATAGAGATGTTGGGGGCTCCGGAAAAGAGAATATGGGGAGTGTTTGGATTCAGCCACACACCGCCACGCCACCGTTGTGGCCTGCCACAGTTTCCCACGTTGGTGTTTGGTTGACGCGAAAGCTTAGGCTGCCACAAAAGCTTCGGACTCAGTTCCTGACACAGATTGTGGCGTTCGATTTCTCCACCACAACTGCGGCGGCGCCACTACTCACCCCAACTGAATCATGGCAGGGTGTGCGTACAACCGTTGTTTGAGCAGTGCTAAACAAAGGATCTTACTACTCTGTTCCATAAAAAGAGTCATTATGGGACTCGTGCTGGTCAAACTTTTTTAAGTTTGATTAGATTTATAGATATTAGCAATATTTGTATCTCTAAATAAGTTTATTATAAAAATGTATTAAGGATCTTTCTAATGATATTACTTCCTCCGTTCCTGTTCCTGTATACCCGGCGTGCAAGCCCGAATTACAGCCAAGACGTTCACGGGGGCATATGAATCGCATTAACTACGTACATGGTGGACCAATGAACGGAGTACTAGCTTGCATGCAGTTCCGTACTGTGGCCAAATGAACCAATGGACATTCACGGGAGTAAATGACTGACGCCTCTGTACTAGTAGGCTGCCCGGTATTGTGGCCGAATAGGAAAAACGGCTGTACGCCGCATATACATGAACGAGAGAGGAGTAATTATGTATTATAAATATTAATATTTTCCTATATATAATTGGTCAAAGTTAAAAATCTTTGATTTTTCGAAAAGCGAGAATGATATTTTTTATGAGACAAAGGGAGTATATGATTTGAGGGAGACTTGACAATTACAGATGCTCTGGGAGTATAATACATCAAGCCACCGCTTTTTTTTTTTTTTTTGCTTGTTTCAGACTTCAGCAGTGTCTAAAACATGCAGGGGAAATTGGTTCTTATATGGCAATAATACATGTGAAACTACTTTTCTGATACCTGGTATGAGTTTTGGAAGTTTAATCCGATGCATTCCAACTTATGACAAGAGTAACCGGCTACAAAAATGAAGAAAAATGCATCCGTTTATGTATTGTCAGTGAACATACCCCATGAGGCATGCTTCGCTCGCGGCACAGGTACAACCCAGTCATATGTTTTTGCCATCAAAGTAACAGACTGTGCATTTCTTCCCAAATACCTGGATCAAACAATGCATCATTTCAGCTCAAAGCATGGAATTACCATCGCCAAACAATGACACAAATGCACGTAATTCTTCTTGGATTTTCAAGGCCATTAGTATTCAGCAAGCTTAAGATGTTGATTTGTTCAGTAGAATGTTTACTGTCTAAGTATCAAGTGACATAACGTTAAATATTCTAGTAAAAAAATGCAATGTCAGAAGTATTGAGAGGATCTGATGTAAATAAACTATATAAAATAATTGCAAACAGAGAACAAATGAATGTCACAGGAACAAAGGACGAAGGTGTGTTATACCATTGGGTATGTGTATGTGTGTTAAACCAAACTCGCTGCATAATTAGTGGAGAGGATTAGATCAATCTGGCAAGGAGGAACTGGAACGTCAGTAAGGTTGGCTGCTTTTGTGAAAAAAATGAAACAATCCAACATTTGTTCTTTGAATGTCATTATACCTGTTTTCTTCGGTGCGCAGTTCACATTGTGTTTGGAATCAAGCCGCCTCGACATTCTTACCATCTCTGTTTGGCAGTTGGTCAAAGTTGGGGAGCAACAACCTAATGTAACCTTATTCACTTGGGCTGCAGCTCGTTGCTGGCCAATTTGGCTAACAAAGAATGATACAGCTCATGGATGATCACAAACATTAGATGAGATGATTGAGGCGTGTCGAGTTTTAAAATCCTACGCCATGGAGTTCTTCGCATCCAATGAATGGCCTTTCATTTTCCGTTTACAATAATATTATGGAACTGCTAAGCGTTTGAAGTGGGTGTGTTTATTTAACTTTGAACTGATGCCTCTTTTGTAAAGAGGACTAAATCTGGAATTTTCCATTATCTAAAGACCTGGCTCTATATATTCAGACCATTTGCAGCAGAAGCTATTCTCTAACTACACATCTAGTTAAACCATTTGCAGAAACATTTAGACATAACTCGCTGCTAGTAACTAATCATTAAAACAGACATCTTGCATATTTACTGCCCTGCAAAGTTGACAGATGAAGGCTCTTCTAAGACTCCAATGTTTTTGATAAATAAAGGAGAAGCAAAGAACAAAGTTGTCAGAGTTTTTTCACGACCGTACCGTGGCACGTTTTTCATTAAGCAGAAGAAGAGTTTTCGTTACAACCATGCCTGATCACAATAATCCCTAGATTACCGAGATGAGCACCTCCCAGGAAACACGTGGTTGTGATTTAAAGTTGTCAGAGTAACCCATAAACCTACAAAACTGCTTGATACATCGAGGGCAAGGGATTATTAAAATTTTCAGACTGCGGAAATGTTCAAATTAGCAAAAGAATTAACTGCTGAAGCGAAATTGCAGCCAATTCCCATCAGATTAATTAACATGATACAAATATTTATAATCTGGATTAAGAGAACCCTTTCTAGTTTATCGCATCTTTCGTGCTTCCTTTTTGTCTCAGTCCCCTATTTCCTGCTGACCACTTGAGGCTGGCGCTCAGCTACCAGCGCCTTGCCATGGCGTGGTGCCGAGGCGGCTGTACTGTGTTCTTGCGCCAAAGCCATTCTTTTGCCCGTTTCCGTCGGTACTTGGTAGCGTGGGAAACTGATGCAGTGTGCCTGCAGCCTGCAATCTTTGCTTCTTTTTTTTTTTTGAATTTTTTCCCCTGCTTGACCGTTTTCATCCCTATGCCGATGCGGCCCAAGTAGTACATAGCCCAATACAGGAAAGCCCACTCAATCTCCCTCACGGGCTCACCTAACCCGGTGACCCGTAGCTTCCTCTTCCCCATCCGAAGTTGCCGACCCAATCCGGCATTCCGTGTCGCTAGCGGCGGAAGGCGGCTCGACTTGGCAGGAGAAGGGCAGTGGGCGCAAGGGTGCTGGGTGGCATACCGCATACGGCAGGAGGCGCCGCGGCCGCTGTGGCCTGTGAGCCGCTGAGCACTGAGGGGCTGAGGTCGCGCCGCACGGCCGCAGCCAGCGAGCAGAGAGGAACGCACCGCCGCAGCAGAGAGCAGGCAAAAGGTCCTGACGCTAGGCGGAGCGGCAGCACCGCATCACGCAGCCATAGCGCAGAGGTAAGGAATTAAGGATTCATGATTATCATGAATCGTCTATGCTCCTTTCGTTCCAAATTACAGTTCAGTTTCTCCTAAATCAAACCTCTATAACTCTAATCGACTTTATATGAAATGTATCAATATCTGGAAAATTAAATTAGTTTCATTAAATTAATTTACATGAAATAAACTTCTCTATGAAATATGCCGCGGCTTGTAATGGAAATTGGATTACCTATAAGTATTGATTTATGGGGTTCGTTATATGGATAGCTTGTACGAAGAGATGGGTAAATGAATGTTAGTGGATGGTATTGACAGCTAAATGTATATTAGTGGGCGATGTGGCTCACATACATTGATAGCTTGCATGAAGAGATAGCTATTATAACTGCATGCTAGTGAGTGCTGACATGGTTAGCCTGCACGAAAGAGAGAGCTATGCTATGGGTTTGCTTTTAAAGTTAGGACAAAACTAAAGTGACCTATAATTTGAAATTGAGTATTATTTTTGTAGCTGATGTTTGCATTGCAATCGATTTTTGTACATTTTACTGGATTCAATTCAATTGTTAGTTTGAAGTGGTTGCTGTTAATGTTAGGGACTGCCATATGAGTTATTAAGCTCGTTAGTCTTCTAGCTCTGCACCAGTTTGATGTATGCCAAAATCATTGATCATTTGACAGGCTGTGTGTCCCAAAACCTGTCTCTTGCTGCATTGAACTCTTTTGCGCTTGAAATGTCAGCACCGAAGCCCATTTCTCGGCTTGTTTCCCATGTCATCCTTGATTTGGATGGCACCCTCTTAAACACAGGTGACTGAAAATTGAAAACACTAATAATTCATGGTTTTCTAGGCTTAGATTGTGTTCTAAATTCACTTGTCTAAGCTAACTTTGATTCTCTTGGTTGTACTAATTGGCAGATTCCGTTGTAAGTAAGGTGGTAAAACCATTTCTTGTCAAAAATGAGAAAACGTGGGACAGCAAGAAAGCTCACAAGCTAGTTGGGAAGACACCTTACGAAGCTGCAGCTGTTGTTTTAGAAGACTATGGGCTCCCTTACTCTGCAGAAGAGTTCCTCTCAATGATTACTCCAGTGTTGAGTGAACAGTAATGCCATTGGAGCTTCTACGTGTTTGTATATTTTCTTACATTTGGAAAAAAAAATCACACTGAAATGCTTTTGTGTGTGTGTGTGTGTGTGAGGGGGGGGGTCTATGTATTTGACTGTATGGCTGCATAAGATCCATAGATGTGATGACCTGTTTCCTTGCCAGTAAGTTATCTTCTTGAGTTAAATATTCTTGACTGACTACACCTCATATTGCAGGTGGTGCAACATAAAAGCTCTTCCAGGAGCTACTCGGCTGCTAAAACATTTAAGGAGTAATGGGGTGCCTACTGCTTTGGCTTCAAACTCACCAAGATCTAACATAGAAGCCAAAATTTCAGGCCATCAAGGTATCCCTGTAAAAGACGGTTACAAGGAATCCTTTTTTCGGGTTATGTGGTAGAGTTACTTACTAGTGAATTTGTTCCTACCTTGTATAGGATGGAAAGAGTCTTTCTCTGCAATTGTTGGTGGAGACGAAGTAGAGAAGGGGAAGCCATCCCCAGATATGTAAGACATCATGTTGCACGATGCCATCATCTCTGATACTCCAGATTTGCTTAACTTGTCTCAGTTTTTTTTTATTTCCGGTTGTCTGTTGTGATGGTATTCAAGATTTTTGGAAGCTGCTAAAAGAATGAACGCCACTCCTTCAAATTGCCTAGTAATCGAGGATTCCCTGTAAGTTTTTTATTCATATAAACTTTATGCTATATGTGGTAATACTCTTCACAAAGACATTATGTTCCCTCCTCCCACCTCCTGTAAACATAGGAAGGCTAGTTAAAATCATGTTGTGGATACGCTTGTGGAAATTCATGAGATTTTAACTAGTAACAAGTAATATTTTCCTTGCTGTATTTTAAGAGGAGAATATTCTTACACACCATATTTGACATATCATTTAGTCATAATAATAAGATACTGTGGTACAATCCCATCGTTTAGTAATACACAGCATGGCACCTAGAATTTCTACTGAAGTAAATGTTTATTTTCTCTTCCATATACATGTATAGTTCTTCTGGGCTGACATGACATCACATGTATAATCTGCATTTTTTTCTGATAACTGTTCCTTTTACTGGTTCAAACTATGATATAGGATGAAGTACTTTAGTGAAGACATTACCTTTAACATTGTAAGTAATGGTTGTGCTAGGCCAGGTGTTACAGCTGGGAAAGCTGCAGGGATGCATGTCATAGCTGTACCTTCAATACCCAAAAAGGCTGTTGAGTTCAGTTCTGCTGATGTGGTGATCAATTCCCTCCTTGATGTGAGGCCTGAGAAATGGGGTTTACCACCATTTAATGATTGTACGTTTGAATTCTTGAGCTTGTATATTAGTTTTGTTCATTCAGAGGAGAATATATCTAATCTTTTAGCTTATCTGTCAATAAATTTTCTGCACAGGGATTGAAGATACCTTACCAATAGAACCATGGTTTATCAGTGGACCAGTGATCAAAGGATTTGGCCGTGGTTCTAAAATACTAGGAATACCAACAGGTATGGTGGGCTAGAAACATAAAGGTTGAATATTACAACTGTTTTAAATCTCAATTTTTTTTCATTGAATGGACCATTTTAGATGTTTCCCCTACTAGCTGGTTTACTTTTGAATCAGTTCAGCATTTTGCCTCACTAAGAAAGTTGCTAGACAAAACTATATGATAGACCAATGGTTTCATGCTGGTTTGCAAGCTCCCATCTGAAATGGACATTATATTTGGTCATACTTCTGGAATATATACATAGCAGCCCCTTTATGCTATACTATTCACCAATACAATTTATCGTGTACAAGGTTGGGTGATGTGCCATCATTTATTGTTAGAATGGCAATATCCTAACCATTACTAGTCCTCATATCTTGGCCATTATTGGATCTAATAGCACATCATGATATCATATCTGCATGAGCCTGTATTGATTAAGCTAGAAAGGACATTAGAGCATTTTAGTTCTTTTTCTTACATGTACACTCATTTCTGTATAAGTATAGTCATATAGCAATGGAGCAATTATTCTGTTCATTCTATTATTTGCTCTGTTCCAAATTATAAGACGTTTTGACTTTTCTAGATACATAGCTTTCAGTTCTGTTTCCTATGTGGTGAGAACACACGTGAGTATGGTGGTGTGGCACACAGGTGTGCTGCTGGCCAACCAGGGCTAGAATCCTGGGTCTCACTAAAAGGGCCCCTCACCAGACCAGAGTTAGGCCAAGTTTTTTGTTTCCTGTATGGTTATTATTTTGATGTTTTTTCTTCAATAATTCTGATCGTTTATGTTATGCTGTTCTTTTTTCTGGATCATATTGTGTAGTATACTACTATTCTATAGGAGTTCATATTTGTTTCTTTGATACTACTACACTTAATTTTTCAACTGGAGCACTGATGGTTTTATTTTGTACTGTAGCTAATTTACCTGCAGAGAACTTTTCTGATGTAGTGTCCGAGTATACATCTGGGGTATACTTTGGCTGGGCTGGACTTTCAACACGTGGTATATATAAGATGGTTATGAGTGTTGGCTGGAACCCATATTTTGACAATACTGAGAAGACAGTAGTGAGTATTCTTTAATCTTGACAGCCATTTCCATGCTCATTCTATTACTTTGTTTTAAAAGACTTCGATTGCAGGAACCTTGGTTGCTTCATAATTTTGGTGAGGACTTCTACGGTGAGGAGCTGCGCCTTGCCATTGTTGGCTACATAAGACCTGAGGTAATTCAGAGCAAAACAAATATTTTAGCAGCGACAACTGATCCATGAGTTGGAATGCATACCTGACCTGTAACATCCCTTCGTAATTCTTAGGCCAACTTTCCTTCGCTCGAGAGCTTGATAGAGAGGATTCAAGAGGATGGGAGAATAGCAGAGAAGGCACTAGACTTACCGATGTATGCCAATTACAAAGACTCGCCATATCTGAGAAATACTTTGCAACTGGGAAGTACTACTGATGACAGCCAGGCTGAGCTGAATTCCAAGTGACAAGCCCCTGCAGTTGGGTCAAGTGAATTGGTTTCAAGAGCATTCCGCCACTTTTTGGCAACTTTCACTTTCAACCTGATTCACTGCCTGCGTGCCCTTTACGCCCAGTCATTCCGAAGACTAAATAAGTTGCTGGTTATTGTTGTGTTCGTGATAGAGTGAAATACACTGGTATTGATGCAGAAACGATTGGACTCTTGTTGACTTTATAGGCTTATACGCAGTTCTTTCCACTTATTTAGAACCAGTGTTGGTTGCACTATATGGTTGTTCCTCAAAGAGGGGTGTTGATACCCTTTCTATAGAACATGGTAATACAGGGATATGGTCTGCACTTCATTCGTTGATTACTGAACTGATGCATTCGAGTTTGGAAAGATATCACTTGTACTAGTTTAAGTTAAGAAACAGTAAAGATATACTTGACAATTCCTTCTTGATGAAATGACGTGTAACTCTACTGTGTAGTTCGAGGGAAAAAAAAACAATCATTCATAACCCACAACTGAGGTATCTCAATAGCATATCATAAATTGTCTCCAAAATTACAAAGATGAACTGAGAAGATAAATTCTAGCAATAAGGAGGGGTTTGGGTAATATTAGGGTTCAAAGATTTTGAGCTCCCTTGGGAAGATTGGCCTAACAACTGAGACAAAGCGCGCCCACATGGGGCCCACGCTGCCCTGAATGTCATCATCGAGAAAAGAGGGAGAGGGGACAGCGGATGTTCAGCCGACGCCAGGAGGAGGAGACACCGAGGAAGGCAGCATAAAGTAAGGAGATGCAACACTCGATCTATTTTTGAAACATCTAGATGCATCAATTACAACATACGTCTGAAGGCAGATGAAACACTTGAAACATGCATCTCAAACAATTGCAAAAACACATGAAAAGGCACTTGAAAATCATTGTAAAACATACGCAACATCGAGATAAAACACTTGTAACATATACGTGAAATATATGCAACATCCAAATAAACACACTTATAACATACGTCTGGAAAAAACACAGATGAAACATTGGGAACAGAAACTTGCAACATACGTGTACAACTATTGCAACATGTGCAACATTCTAATCTACTTTTGTAATATCCGCATGAAACACTTGCAACATACCTGTGAAACATCTGAAACATTTGAAACATACGCTTACAACATGCGCTTTCAGCACAATATTTCCTTATTGTTTCGGAATGAAGGCTCGTCAGTGCATGGAGTTCACCGGTATACAGCCTGTTCGGCTAGTGCTGGCTGGTTGGATGGGCTGGCCAGCCCCCTCACACAGACACGGTTCACGTGAACAGTGTTTTTTCAGCCGGAACAGTATTTTTCTCTCACACAAACCAGTCAGCAGTACTTCTTCACGAACCAGCCAACTGAACAAGCTGATAGAGCTCGCCGCTCTGGTAGAGAAGGCTGCGACAGGTTCGGTGGAGAAGGCCACGGCGGATTACCAGATCCACGTCGTAGCCACCCTCACCTCCCTCCCGCGCGGCGGGAGCGGGTCTCCGTTGTCGTGCTCGTCTCCCACGCGCCGCTTGCCCCGCTTGCACACGAGCCTCCGAAGCTACCGTTTCCTCGCAAGCGCGTAGGCCTCGGAGCTATCGTCGCCTTGCGTGCGTGCTAGCAGTCGGCAGCTGGACGCGGGAAGCGCAATGGTCGTGGGAGATGTGGGCCGCAAGAGCACAAAAGGGCCGCAAGCCAGTAGCCGGACGCCGAAGCATAGTGGTTCCCTGACGTCGAGGCATTGGGGAGCGAAGATGTGCTGCCCTAAGCGAGGTGGATGCCGTTGCCTCTACGGCTGCATCGCTGACCCCACTCCACCGCCACTTAATCTTAGATTCGCCACAACAGCTGCTCCGGTGAGCTAGATCAACATCTCACCCCACCTTTTTTTAGCATAATCTCACCCACCTCATGGCTTGGTGAATAATGGATGAGGCTAGCTCGCTCGAATGGATAAAGCCACATCAACCATCGCTTCAGCCTGTTTCTTCAGAGGCGGTAGTTGGGCTGGCGCGGGCGGTCCATAATCGGGAGCGTCCAACGAGGATGGACGCCCTGTACCCAGAATTACCGTTAAAACATGGATGAAAACATATTAGTGTGACAGTGGGAAGCGATGGCATCAAAAATTAGCGTTTTAAATAGTTCGCAATTTAAAACATGGATGCAAACATATACAGTCTAAAATAATTGATTTATTTCTTGGACATGATCATTTTCTTTATAGAATTATAATATAGAAAACAGTTCCCACAGCAAACAGGCCTTAACGAGCAAGAGCACGTTGAAACCTTTGTACAGGCACCGACTCGCTCAACCGGCTTTGCAAGACGAGCCCCCGTATCTCTCCTGAGCTGGCAACCTCGTGCAGCTAGCACACGCATTCACGACCTGACCTCGCCGGCGGCGAGCGTGTGTGACTGTGTCCATGGCTGACGGGGCCGAGATGGACGAGGAGGCTATGCGAGCCTTCTTCCCGCTCTCTTTCGGCAAGGCGCCCGCTCGTCCCGGCTCTGCGGCCTCCTCCGCCCACTCCTCCACCCTTCGCAATCCTCAAAACCCTAGTAACCCCAAGCCCTCCGCCTCTACCGCCGCAGACGACGATGGAGCCGCTATGATTGGCCCCCCTCGGCCGCCGGCGCCCGCGGGGGAGGACGACGACGAGGACGGCGGCGGCGTCATGATCGGGCCGCCTCGGCCACCGCCGCCCTCAGCTCGCGGCGAGGGGGACGACGACGATGGCGACGGCATGATTGGGCCGCCTAGGCCGCCGCCAGCAGATGATGAAGACGTCGATGATGATGATGATGAGGAGGACGACGACGAGGAGATGGAGGATGATGGCGAGGGTGGATTCAATCGGATCCCTCTCAGCAACGAAATTGTTCTGCGGGGGCACACTAAGGTACGAGCGACGAGCTCCAGCTCTCCTCCTTCATTTGGTTTTGTTATACTGATGTGGCCTTCTATCTAGCTTGACTTGATTGCTTTAGGCGCCATTTGGACGAATTGTTCTTTTTCTGAGACAATTTAGCTGAATTAGTTGGTTTTAGAAAAAAAAGGGACCAAAGTCCCCATGCTGTTAGCTGATTACGGTTTTATTTTTAGATTGTCAGCTTTTGTTTTATCTTGAATTAGATCTTAGAATTAGTGTGATTGATGGTAAAGGTGGTTTTTGAACATTCAATGCTTATTAAAAGTTCAGCAAGATGTCAATTCTGGTGTTCTAATTGAATTTGATAGCTCACAGGCTAGTCAGTGGTATAGTTCGAGAAACAGATTTCATGAGATTGCTAACTTGCTAGACATTCAAATCGTATTGCTACAGTCTCTAATACATGCATTTTACTGGTTAATAATAATACTGTTTCTGCCAGGTTGTCTCTGCCCTTGCTGTTGACCATACAGGATCCAGAGTGCTCTCTGGTAGCTATGATTATACAGTGCGTATGTACGACTTCCAGGGTATGAATTCAAAGCTTCAGTCATTCAGACAATTGGAACCCTTTGAAGGCCATCAAGTTCGTAGCCTAAGTTGGAGTCCAACGTCTGATCGATTCTTATGTGTTACTGGTTCAGCTCAGGCCAAGGTATTCTGCTTTTGTAACCTTTCATATTTTCCCAATACTTCAGCAGTAGAACTGAAAACTTGTTGTTGACAAGTATGCTTTAAATCAGATTTACGACAGAGATGGGCTTACACTAGGCGAGTTTGTTAAGGGTGATATGTATATTCGTGATCTGAAGAATACAAAAGGTCACATCTCTGGGCTTACAGGTGGTGAGTGGAATCCAAAGTCAAAAGAGACCATTTTGACATCATCTGAAGACGGCTCCATACGTCTCTGGGATGTGTCTGACTTTAAAAGTCAGAAGCAGGTATTTTATCTATAATTTCTATTTACCAGACATTAACGAATTGTTTTTCTAAAATAATATCAGGAGACCCTTGGAAGGCACTGTTATTGGTTCGTTTTAGTACCTCGAAATTCTTCATTTGCTATTTCAAATAATCAAAATTTTCATCATTTGAACTCTGGCTGGCTGAATCTGTTAATTACTTAATGAATAGGTCATCAAACCTAAGCTGGTAAGACCAATGCGGATTCCTGTTACATCATGTGCATGGGACCATGAAGGAAAACGAATCGTGGGTGGCATAGGAGATGGTTCTATACAGGTATATATTTTATGTAGAATTCTTATGTTCCGTTATCACTTTATATTCAGTCAAATTGTTTCTTGTAATGCTCACTGACCTGCATACTGTATCCCTCATAGGTCTGGACCATAAAAGCTGGATGGGGTAGCAGACCAGATATCCATGTTGAAAAACACACACACAGAGGATATTACTGGGGTCAAGTTTTCAACAGATGGACAAATTCTTCTGTCAAGAAGTATGGATAGTACTCTTAAGGTAATTTACCTGAGCTTTGAGGATTACAAATTTCAAACTTTAGATTAACTTTTTAACTTGATTATGTCCTCATGGATGTGAGGGCAGGTTACATATTTATGGCTACTTTGTGGATTGGCTGGTCGTATTAGATATTTTTGGGCTGTTCTGTTGCACTGTAGCTATGCAAATATGTGATTTATAGTAATCTGGCATTGATGTGTTCTTCCTTGTTTAGAACCATGCTATACATGTAACCAGACTGTACAACTTGACTGTACGCTAGTTCGAACTTCAAAGTAAGAGACTAGATTCACACTAGATCTACGAAATAACACTGGTTTGCTAGTCCCTGTATTGTCAGTGTCAAGTTGTATGCATTTCCTTTTTTTTCTTATTATTCCAAGGTATCTAATTGGGATGTTACATTGGTGAATGCAGATATGGGATTTGAGAAGAATGAAAACTCCTTTGAAAGTATTTGAAGATCTACCAAATCACTATGCTGAGACAAATGCAGCCTTTAGCCCAGATGAGCAGCTTATTTTTACAGGAACATCTATTGAAAAAGATGGTGACAATGGG